AATTCCAGCGCGTGCGCAGGTGACGACCCTCCCGCTTTAATTTGTCCTGGGTTAAAGATATATACGATAAATACGAAATTAAATTAAATGAGGGAAAGGTGTATAAAAAATATTTCACCCTCAAATATCATATTAGTAAATGGAATGTGCGTAGCTATAGCTTACGCGATGACAATAACTTACTGTTAAGGCATTTAATTTCACTATTCCGGTATTCACAAATTAGCCAATGAAAAAAATAATTTTGTTGTTATTTTTCATGTTTACGTGGATTTATTTTAACAGATTTTACATATCAGCGAAAACACATACAATAAAATAAAATAATTACTTCATTTACAGTTTTTTAATTGCCAGGAAATAACGAAGATACTAAACTATATAAAGAAAATAACTAAAACTTGAGGAAATAAGAAATTTAAAAAATAAGAAGGTCAAAATGAATTTGTGGAGATGTCGGGGTTCGAACCCGAGGCCTCTCACATGCGAAGCGAGCGCTCTACCACTGAGCTACATCCCCATTAGGAGATTTTCTGTTTATTTCAAGCTAATTGAAAATAATAATTGAAGAGTTTGGATATTTCCTCGTTTGTATAGTTGCTCGATAGTCTAAATCATCGGATACTAATCCTGTTATGGCCCATCAATGGAGTATGTCTTCTGGTGACTCATACAATGCGAGGCTTTCACATTTTAGAATTTTATGCCCAACCATGAACTGCGCTGACACAGTGACTGCGTTGACCTGCCATTGACATCCCGCGATCCCGCGAGATGTCAGTGACCTCTTCTACTTATTGTCCACTATGCCGTAATTGGTATCAGGAATGATATTCAGTACGGCTGTGAGTTCACGGGTTTTAGAAGGACTGTAACCATGCGCGGACTGGCATGACCACGGTTCCGTTGTGACGCCGTCTCAGTACAGACGGTGTTAACGACCTGCAGCGTCAATGCCACGGATCCCCAACCCGGTCAAGGAAGGCAGTTTCCGTTTCCGTCCGCCTTTGAGAATGTACGCAAACAGGAAATGTCCACTTTATGTTATTACTACAAATTGCCGAAATAATGTTCTGAATGCATATACTACCGGGTATTATTATTATCGCCCGATGCACGGCGTTTTAGTCGAAAGTCAAATGTATTTTGAAAACCATAGACTCTATAGCCTATGGGAAAAGCAAACTCGAGAAAATTATGAAAACAACGTCCGTCTCAAACTCATGTAAAAAATTCATTAATATTAAAGGCGCTGGTCCTCGCGCTGTGTCACTTTCGATACGAGCCCCATAGCAACGTTATACGACATTGTTTGTTTACGTGAACTTGAATTGGAACACGCGCTGTGCGACGACCGCCTCCCTTTAATACTCTTGTTACGAAAATTCTGAGGAACGAAACCTGATTTTTGAACTAATCAAGATGATACGATTATGAAACACACGGTAGTCAGTGATTTGAAATTCACCAGACAGTCACCCGAGATGTATAATTTAAAATCATGGAAGGTAGTGAAGGACGAACCCCTACTACCTTCCATCATGTTAAAATGAAGTGTGAAAATTGCGTAGAATCCCCAAAAATGCAATTCTGTACAAATAAACTGCACTTGTATAACAACAAATCAGTAAATCTGTATTTTGGAAACGTCAAAGTTTAGGAAAACATACACATCACTTTTCATTAGATACGTGGTGAGTTTTATCAGTCGTGATTTAAAACAAAACAATCTCTCAGACCGTATTTGTGTGGTTTCTGAGTGCCCACGGAACAATGAACCGACTCAAACGTTCCCGGCGGGCTTAGTACGTACGTGTACGTACGATTACTGAAAAAGAGTAACCGTGGTGTACGTGACAACGTACAAATCACCCAATAGGAACGTGCCAATGAAATAAATCTGGGTTATACTTTTTGTTCAAAATACAGTTATAAATACAGTTTGTCTGATGATGAATCTCTCCTATATACACTGGAGTCTGTACTATGATTTTGACTACTTTCAGGCACACAGACCAGCCTAGAACCTATACTGATTATTGTATACAATATTGTGTACCAATATTTAGTATGAAATCGAATAGCGGGTATGTAATATCTAGTCTAGTATGCATAGTGTTTAAGTATATGATTTCAGACTTCATTTGATATATATGGGGTATATGTAAGATCGATGTGTCTCAAAAGGGACCGTACTCGCCAGACGTCTCCCGTGTTTCCAATTGCACGAGAAACGAATCATCAGCTCTAGGCGGAAACGTAGCGACACAGAAAACTTCATGTGGATTGGCACTAGGCGCAAAGGAAGACAACATACATTTAAAAAAGGGATAGGATGTCAAGTAAATTCTAGCCCAGACATCTGTTTATCTGAAATTTTGAGAACTATGGTCGCAACCAGTAAAGACATAAACTGACACTTAAATATTCACATTCCTTCTACTCTTGGCGCAACGAAGGTATTCCTTCATTTTTGTAAATATTTATAAATTTCAATGGAAGTTGAATTCAACCAGCCATTCAGCGAGCAAACTATCTTATTTCAAAACGTTCCAAAGTTTTTAAAAAGCCAAAATTTATCTCTCATTCCAGCTTCAATTAATAATAATAATAATAATAATAACTTTATTTAATTAAGCGCAACAATTCCAACATATGAAGATCAAAGGCGCTGATACAATAAACAATCAGTCAAATATTAAAAGCACATTTAAATAAGTGCGTTTTCAGTCTGGATTTAAAAATGTCTACTGAAGGACTAGAACGAACAGACAGAGGTAATTCATTAAAAAGTTTAGGACCTAAATTTTCAAAAGCACGGTCTTTGTATAACACCTTGGACTTTTTACTACACACCTGACGAGTTTTAATAAGAAACTTTGATTCAGATCTTAAACTACGACTAGGTACATAAAATTCGATTAATTCACATAGATAATTTGGGGCAAAACCATACAAAGATTTATACACTAGTAAAAGTAATTTGAAATTGATTCTTTGTACAACTGGTAACCAATGAAGTTTAATAAAATGTCTGTAATGTG